CCCGCCCCCCGCCGCCACCGGGAGCTGATGGAAACCCCAGGCTTCCGGCTGACCCCTGGCACTGCCTGCGAGGCCTCCGCCCACCGAGCGCAGAGCGTATCCGGGCCCCTCGCGGAGGCGCAGCTCCGGGACCGGGAAGGCGCCCAGCCCGTCCCTGAAGCTGCGCAGCACCGCCCCCTCGTGGGGACCCGGGGTCTGGACGCCGCTTCTGCCTCAAGCCCGTCAGAAACCGGCTATCTCCCCGCCGTATCGCTTCGTTACTGTTTTCATCTCTATTTGACTTTTCCCTTTTCCGACTCCGCTGTTTTCTTTGCCTTTTCTCCTGCTGACTCGTCTTTACGGCTTTTCTTATTCGGGGTCTATCTGCTCTTTCTTCTATTTTCCTCATCAATTGTTTTTTCTTCTTTATTTTAAACCGTTTCCCTTCCCATATTCCTCCAATTCTTTGTTTTTATTCTCTGTATTTCATCTCTGCCCTTCATATTGCTTCTTATCCCACCCATTTTTTTTGGTTTTGTTTGTGTGTTTTTTTGTTTTGTTTTTCTTTCTTCTTGTGTTTTTCCTTCTTTCCTTTCCTCTATCATTCTTGCTTTCTTTCATCGTCCCTAAATCACTCTTCTCTGGCTCTATCGAAGCAGAACTGTCCTAGGTGAAGTGAACAATGGTGTCACTGGAACCATAAAAACATTCGCTCAGCACATTAACCGACCCCTGGCCGAGCCAGTTTACACAGCTTAATTCGTAAAGGGAGGAGAGACCAGAACGTCCTGAGAAAAGACCCCTAACAGACAACAAAAAGTGTGTACTCTAAAGCTTACTTCATGCCTCCCCAGTGGACTGAAGGCCTTTTTATTTCTTTATTTTTAGCCAGGGCAACTATCTATATGGAAGAAACAATGAACGAGATAATTCAAAGACAATGGATCTGAACAGAAATTAGTCTCAGAAACCAAAATATAACTGTGGCCCTGCACTAAATCTAGGAGTTTTAAGAGTCAGGTGACCAATGAGTTTCAGCTCAGGTCCATTTTGAAGTAGGGGACATATGTTGGGACGACCCTTGGTTCCTCTGGTCCCAGGAGGCATAACCGAAATAGACAAAGCAGCAGAATGAGCCCCACACTCATCACTGCCGAGTGGGGGCTACTAGGGTGAGAAAGTCAAAGCAGAAGCCTCTAGAACTGCCTGTAAGAGGATAAGAAGGAAACCCAAAGCCTCCCACATTCCTGGATGAAGGGCAGAGATTTGTGCCGCGGGAAGGATGTGAATATGCAGGATTGTGTCCATTGGAACACATCCTCACTGACCATCTGATTTGACTTGTGAAAAAGGAGGAGAAACGGGAGGAGGAGGAGGGAATAGGAGAGGGAGAAGTAGAAGAAGGAGGAGAAGGAATAGAAAGACTGGGAACTCTACAACTTCAATTTAAAGTGCTACATACATGATCCAACCCGGGAGGACCAAAGCAGGAAGATAGTCTGTGTCCCAATTTACCTCAGTACCAACTTCTGTACAATGAATCCATCTTTCTGCCTAGACCCGTGGACTCCTGGAAAGTGTTCTATGACCTATTGACAGAGGAAGGAAAGCTGTGGCCTGGCTCCCCGATGATTTTCATGGTATCGAGGGCCAACCAGAGAGGGGCCGCTGCAGCAGGACAGCCCATGTCTGGACGTCTGTGAAGGACAGTGGGTCACAAAGCCCCCACAATGGGCAGAGGTGGGGCGGCGCCTCCTCACTCACTGTGCGTGGCTGACAATGCCCAGCTGTGGGAGGAGATGCTGACTCAGGGCTCTGCCTCGGATTTGCAGCATCAGGCAGAGGCACTGAGGAAGCCTGACTAGGAGATCCCTCACAAGCTCTCTGGGCAGACGTTCGTTGGACGTTCTTGTTCAGTGGTCACAAATATTCAAAGATGTTTGCGTCTCATGTAATGCTCACCAGAGTGAAGCCTCAAAGTGAGAGATTTCATTAGTCAAAAGGATAAAGTGGCACGTTCTATATTTTCCCTCGGCAGTGGGATGTGAAAGCACAAACAAAAGAAACAAAGTCTCCTATACACACATGGAATCATGTGTTTACCGCAGGGGAAGCAGGAGGGAGGGCCAGGTGAATAATGGGGGCTCAAAGGCAAGAGGGCAGAGAGACAGACATTGGTGGCGAGCACACAGCTGAGTGTGCTATGTTGTACCATGAAGTGAACAAGTGAAGGTTTTTAATGTGATTAACTGATTACCCCCAAAACAGTAATCTTTAAGTATTTAATATTCAAGAAATGAAGAGACGCTTTTCTTTGTCTGAATAATAAGAACATGTATTTGTTTACCTATCATTTGTTCAATAAAAACCAGGCGAATAATCTGTTGCAGCTGGGCAGTAGCAATGGAGTCTTGAAAAGGAAAGGAAGTCAATGGTTAAGTGTTACAAAACCCGGTTTTTATTCCTGGGCAGTGTTACAAAACCCGGTTTTTATTCCTGGGCCCTGCCAAGCAAGGGGCTAGACACTGGGCTAGAGCTTCTCTGGACGTGAGGACTGCGGTGGGAACCAGCGGGGTTCCTGCATCCAGTTCCCGTGTCTCTGGTATGACACGCAATCTGAAACAGCTCTGAGTGGCCCCCAGCAGCACACACGAACATGCTCCCTCTCATCACTTTATCGCCTGCTGAGTTCATGTCCAGGGCTCCCAATGCTGCCTGAGGAGCTTCAGGGCACCAATAGTTTACCTCTGCTTCCAGCCAGATGTGGGGAAAATCGGAAAGTTTCCTGAGGGGATGACATAGACGTTCTGAAAATGCTTGAGTAATCCGCAACAGCCGACAGGGATGGTTCCCTGGTTTATAGCTAGCATACCTTCAGCTTGGAGAGATTCAGGACATGAATAGGTATATCTCACAATGGTTTCAAGCCAGATGCGAGGAAAAATGGGATGGATCATGGGAGGGCTGTAAGCAGTATGGGATGAAACTGGGATAATTCAGGGTTTGTCAGAGACTGGAAAAGTGTGCAAGAGGAAGCACCAAGAGTAATGAAGGCAGCGACCTCTCCTGTGGCAGCGGCCACCTTGACTAGATTCAAACCCCAGCAGGGAACTGAGGTGAAGGGAAGGTTTGACCTTGAGGTGGGGTGCTACTCTATGGAAGAACTATGTGAGTGCTGAAACTTACCCAGGCAGAAAAGTATGCAATCTGTGTTGAAATAATTAACGGTCGAGGACATGTTCAAGGAAACATAAGTTTGGACATGAAGGCACCTATTAATTTGGGCCCACAGGAAGAGCCTGCATTTACATCTGCAGTGTGGGTCATTTCACAAGGCCCACAAGTTGATTGGGATGGTTGGCAGACAACTGCCTCCAAGGATGGCCCAAGGGGGCGGCATGGAAATGCCCAGTCTCTTTTCAGTAAAGAAGCAGTTCAGCAGTGTAGGGAGGAGGGACTGTTGGAGTGTATTGGTTATTTGAGCCCTATGGCACGTGGGAGTGCCCACATGGCATACCTTTCACCAATGCATGGGGAACTATATTGATGACTGGAAACAGCATATTTGAAGAGCTGCATGAAGACTCTTCTATGAAAACCAGACCATGGGAACTGCACCCTCTCAATGGGAAAGTCCAAATGTGACGAGAGACATTGAAACCCAGGGGAAGGGGCACTGGGCCCTGTCCAGTCACTGAACTCTCGGTGGATCTGATCAGCCTGAAATACAGCAATCCAAGCAGGATCTAGTGAGTCTGTCGGCACTGATGTACAGTGTTGGCTAAAGAGTCATGTGTTCCTAGCGGTGGGGAGAGGAAGCTCACGGCATTGTTGCTCCATCTAGTGAAGCAGAAATGTCCCCGTGAGTCCCAGGGCCCAGCAGCCTAGGCCCTGTGCTTATTTCTCTCAGGTTCTCAGGGATGTCTTGTTGCCTACTACAGGTCAATTTATGAAAGATACACTCAATTTTCCACAGAAAAGATTCATTCTAATAGATTCTATTAAATAGAACCACAGCTATTTGCTTGCACAGAGTCTATGGCTGCTGTCAAACTATGAGGAGAGGCTTGGAGTTTCTGCAGAGACCAACAGCCATCGAGTCTCTGGCTGTTACAGAAACAGCTTGCAGACCTCTGCTCTAGGGTCTTGGACTCCATTTTCTTAAAAAAAAAAGTACATTTTCATTGATTTTAGAAAGGAAGGGAAAGGGAGAGATAGAAACATCAATGATGAGAGAGAATCATGGATCGGCTGTCTCCTGCATGCCCCCTACTGGGGATTGAGCCCACAACCCAGCATGTGACCTTGACCAGAATCAAACCCAGGACCCCTCCATCCGAAGGCCAATGCTCTATGAATTGAGCCAAACCAACTAGGGCTTGGACTCATTTCTAGTCTTTGCCGAGCAGGTTAAGAGTTTTGGAGGTCAATTTCCCTAAGGACAATCTTTTCCAAGTTAGTTAGGCAATATTGAGACTTCCCAGATAACAGGAACACTGGACCATCTGTAAATGCTTTTATGCTTCTGTGTGAAGTTGGGATATACTCCAATGAAACCAGTCCACGGCCTTTGCTGCTCTCCGCACAGGCTCATGATGGAACTCGGCTGCAGTGGATGGGCTCCCTGCAGGCCAGCCTGGTGCTCAGCCTGGTGCTTAATGTAACTAATTGTAAGTTGCCAATGGGAACACACAAACAAAGCCTGGGACGTGTCGATGTGCAGCATGACATCGCCTGGGAGCCCCGCCTAGCCCCAAAGCCACTGAGCTAATCCTTGGGGCCTCAGAGGGCAAAACCTAGCCCCGTAGAGCCTTCCCCAGCCCCAAAGAGCAGAGGGCAGCATTGAGGAGCCCAGCTCCTCGTTCAGAGACGCCTAGTGAGGCCCCCAGCGGGCCCTGGTCCTCTCTCTCAGAGAGTTCAATGGCGGCCCAGGACCCAGGCAGCCTGGGCCTCTGTCTTGGAGCCCAAACAATGCCCCGCAGCCCAAAGCATGTCAATGATGTGAAACGCACACTCTGGTGTCTACAAATACTGCTTTATGGGAATACAGCCACACCTATTTGCTCACATATTGTCTATGACGCTGCGTCTAAGAGATTGGAGTTTAAATACACACCTTAAGCCATTGACTCTGGCTGTTACAAAGTCTGCAAATGTGATCTTGGATCCTGGAATAACTCGATAGTCTTTGCATGTCTGGCTGAGGTCTCTGGAGAGGTCTCTTTCACTAAAGACCGTCTTTTCCACGCTGAAGGCCATTCCCGGTTAGGGGAACGCTCTGCGACACCTGCAGACATGCCTTGTGCTCTGCGTGAAGCTGGCGCACACTCAGATGAGGCCCGGCTACGGCAGCGGCTGCTCTCTGACAGGCTCCGGATGGAACTCAGCAGCAGTGGGGTCTTGGGATGAGTGTCTGCTCCCTGCAGGCCAGTCCTGTGCTCTGAGCCTTGAGACTCACTGCCAGTTGCCATCAGAACGGTGCCTGGTGGAGCATGAAGACCAGGAGGCTCAGCTGCAGGCCGCCTGGCCCGCTGGGGGGTGTAGTGCGAGGGTGGTGGGCCCCAGCTCAGGCCGTTGCCGGCTTGCCTAACCTCCCAGGGAGGTCTCTGCTCCCTGGGGTGACACACCCAGGCTGTCCCCCTGCTGAAGGTGCAGGGCATTGAGGTACCAGCTAGATCTCTGCTCAGAAGGGACCAGTGGTGGCCGAGTACAACCGGGCTCTTGCCAGTAACAGGGAATCGGACAGGGTGACCGGGCTGAGCTGGAGCACCTGCGGGAGAACTGCTCGTGGGGAATCGCTGAGCCAACCACAGCTGAAGAAATGCATGCGCAGTGCGCCAGGGGCCTGCCCTCCGGCTGTGCTCCCTGACCGGCTGCAGGACAGCTTTGTGCTCCCTGACCGGCTGCAGGACAGCGGCCAGGCCCTCGCCCAGGCTGCTTCCAGCAGCGTCTGCACCCGCACAGAAAGGAGAGCCTTCACTGCACGGTTCTGCTTACTGGTTCTTTTTGCTGTTTCTCTTTCTGTGAACCTTGACCTTGCTCAGACCAACTTCCGGCCCCTGCTGGGGGCAGGTGGGCTGGGGGTGTTCCTGGGCACAGAGCTCTGCCTCAGCTCCTCCTGGCCCTTTCCCGCCACCTACAGTTCTTCCCAGAAAGCTCTCGGGCAGTTTGCAAAGTGCATTAGGCGGGGCTTGCTCTACATTACGGAGCTTGGCGCCCTGGTTCCATTACCCCTGCCCCACAGCCCTGGCTCATGTACCACTCCATCATCTGTGTCCTGGGCATCCCGCCACCATTGTGGCACAGTGGGTCCCCGCTAAACACCTGCGGACAAGGTCAGGGGTGTCCCTGGGCCCTGGTTGGAGCAGTGTTGTGTCCACCACGCCCTTGACTCTCACCAGGGGCTGTGTCAAGGCCACACGCGGGCAGCTGGGCCGGCTTTTCCTCATGGCTGGGCTGTGCAGCCCCAGAGCTGGCCTCCAGGCTGCTCCAGTTACAGAGCGCTTGGTCCTATTAAGTTGACACATGGAACCAGTCACATCGGGTAATTAGTGTCATGGTGGTGGCAGCAGCCTTTGTCCACTTCTACGCCCCACCTTCAGGTCACCCACTAAGGCCTGGAGTGGAGGGGGGGGCTGCACTGATGACTCACATATCTGCGCCTCCTTTCTGAAGCTGGAAGGGAAACTCCCCAAGTGCCTTAACAGTAACTTCTTACCTGAAGTGAGAGGAAGCATCTGAGGGGTCTGTTTCTAGAAGAACCTCTTAGAGAACCCGGGGCCCGCCAGGCTCCTGCCCAGCTTCCCGCTGCAGCCTGTGGAGAAACTGCCCGTGTCCCCTGCTGCCCCTCCTCAGCAGGCAACGCCATCCCCTGGGCACAGAGGCCTTCGAGGCTCATGTTGGGATTTTACTCTCCTCCAGCCGTTTCTGGGGAAAATAATGGACTGGGCCTTTTTGGACATTCTGTTTCTGGAGCAAAATGTCCCTCTTACCCCCGTCCTTCCTGGGTGACCCGGCTTAGAACAGGACACCCATTCGTGGCAGTTTTCAGAGATGATTGTAAACTCGTCTGTTTCTGGGGCTGGATCTGCTGATGGCAGGAAGCACGGAGTCCCCAGCTCCGAGGCAGCCGGCTAGTCATGGAGGTGTGTCCGGGCCTCAGATACCTTGAGTTTTCATATTTGTCCTTGGGAGAGTGATGTAAGGTTAGAATGGGGAAAGATATTCAATCTTCAATACTAGGTTTTAAAAAGAAATCTGCTGTGTTGATATGTACCTAGAGGCAAAGATTATGGTGAAACTGAAAGGAAATACAGAGACAATTAGCATTCAAAGAAGAAAAAGAACAATGCCTGTGACTTGTCAATGTCAGCGTGACACGGTGAAAGACGATGCTAGCCTCAGAGTTCGGCCTAGGGTCAGCACCCAGAGCCGAAGCTCCCGCACAGAGAGCCCGCCTGGCCCCACATAGCGGGGCCCATCACCAAAGGGCTGCGCCTTGCTCAGGGAGAGCAAGCCCTAGGCCCTGGCCTCTCTCTCAGTGAGGCTCTGCCCTGATATCACTCCCTGGCCTTTCTCTCCGAAAGTCCTAGCCAGGCACAGGGCCCCAGCACCCTTGGCCCTGGGGCCTCTCTTAGAACATTCGAGAACGTGAAGAAGCTACCCTAGAGGACAAGCCCCATAGGGACCCCGGCTCCCTAGTGGACTGGAGGGGCCAGATTTCCAGTCTCTGGCTGAGGTCCACGTGGGCAGCAGTGGTGGCTTGCGTCCCCTCCTTAGGCCTAAGCAGTCCTAGCCTTGAGGGGCAGATAGTGAGGGTAAGGGGCTGTCCTCACGCTGAGGATGGCCTGTGACTTATCCACAAAGGGCTCTCTGGGTTTCAGAAAAGTAGTGCTTAACCATGGGCCACTGTTACCAGGCAACCTGGCTGTCCACTGTGACCTGGGTGAGAGGTCACTCACGGAGCCTAAAGAGGCCACACACAGGAGACCACATGGAGGTGAAATGGTTCACACATGACGGGATCTCGGAGGATCAGAGCCGTGAGATAAGAGCTGGCCCTCCTGCCAGACAACCAATCCCTCTTTCAGCCTAGACTTGTGGGCGCATGGAAGGCTCCCAATGACCTGCTGACAGAGGAAGCAAAGTCGTGGCCTGGCTTACCGGTGACTCTGCATGATGTCAATATCCAACAGGAAACTGGACGGCTGCGCTACAAAGGACATTCGGGATGTTTGTGAAGGACAGTGGGTAATGAACCCATCACGATGGGCAGAGATTGGGCCGTTCACCTCCTCATTCACCTTGAAGATCTCCTACCTGCAGACTTTTTCCATGGCGGTCACCGTAGGGGAAAAAGCATGAGTGAGGATACGATGGCAAAGGAGTTCCAATACAAGGATGCCATCCTGTGAGTGTTGAGCACAAACTGGAGTGTGCTATGCTGCATTGTGAAGTTGTACAAGTTAATATAATGTCATTAACTACATGATCCCCAATATTTAATAATGGGATAATTTTAAAAGAATCTTTGTCAGTCTTCCTCTTGTTTTTGAAAGTAAGAGACATTCCTCTGTTTTCAAATAATGCCAGCATAGTTTTGTTTACTTGCCTCTGTTCATTAAGGATCATGGAAAGCCTCTGTTAAGACTGAGCAGTAGCAGGTGTGCTTAGGGCGTCAGCCATCAGACAGTTATTGAGGAAGATGGCTAGGAAAATAAAAGACAATCATTAAGAGAAAACAAACACCAAATTCTATTCCAGAGTCCATTCAAGACAATCTCTACAGCATCACTAAACAGAGGAGTGAGGATCGCTGTGGCAATCCAATGTGTTTTTAGTTTGTAGTTTCCATATCTCTGGTGACATAGATGTTCTGAAAAATTTCTGAGTGGTCTGCAACAGCAGACATGGATGTTTTCCTTGATTTATATCCAAGACACCAGATTCAGCTGGACATGAGAAGATTCATTTTCTCAATGGTTCCAAGCCAAAGATGTGAGAAAATGGGAAAACTGGGAAGGTTCATGGTAGAGTTATAACCTACATGGCTATAACAATAATTCAGAATTGTTCATGGACTGGGAAAATGTGCAAGAGGAAACACACAAGGACGATAACGGCAGTGAGCTCTCCTGCAGCAGCTGCCACCTCGACTAGACACAAATCCCAGAGTGCGACCCTTGAGGAAGTGTGCTACCCTTTACAAGAGCCATGTGAATTCTGTGATTTACAGAAGCAGTGATTTACAGAAGCAGGGAAACATGGATTATGTACGGAAATAATTAATGGTGGAGGGACAATGTTCAAAGAAATATACATTGTGATGAAAAGGGAATTTAATAGTTTGGGGCGACAAGACAGAGACTGTGCATTTATATCTGCAGCTTGGGTCATTATCAAAGTTGTATAAAGTTTATTGAGATGGTGGGCTGAAAAAGACATCCAAAGATGGACCAAAAATTGTAACATGGAAATGCCCACTGATTCCTGCTCTAATATAGAAGAAGGAATGCTTTGGTTGGCCCATTGGCTGATAGCCCCTTTTCAAAAAGTTTTATCCGAGTAACTATCTCTTTGGGGGAAACAATGAACTAGATAATTCAGCGACCACAGGAAAATGGTTATGAACAGAAATTGGTCTCAGAATCCAAAATAATACTATAGCCCTCACTAAGACTAGGAGCTTTTGAGGGTCAGGTGACCAGTGAATTTTTGCTCAGGTCCATTTTGAAATAGGTCCAAATTTGATCTCACCCATTCTGTGGTTGCTCCTGGTTGTAAAATGCATAACTGAAATAACTATACCAGAGGAATTATCCCACACACTCATCACTGATGAGTCAAGGCAACTGTGGAGAGAAAGTCTAAACCAATCCATAAGAACTGCCTGTAACTGTGCAAGTATTAAGTTAGAATCTGTACCATCTGCCTGATGAATATGAGAGATTTGTGCCAACATGAAGGATTTGAAAGATTCAGGAGTGCGGATTTGGGCACATCCTCATTACGCTTTTGGTTTGTTTTGAGAGAAAGAAGGAGGAAGAGAAGGAGGAGGAGATTGGACAGGAACCAGAAAGAGAGGAGGAAAAGATGGAGGAGTAGAGGAGGAGGAAAGAAAGTTTAGAAGAAATAGAAAGAATAAGAAAAGGATGAGAAGCAAGAGGAGGAGGAGTAGGAGATGGAGAAGAAAGAGAGAGAGGAGAAGACACAACTTGGAAAGCGGCAGTGTACTCACCGATTCTTTAACTACAGGAGACCCTATGCTGCTGCTGTACCATGTGGTTACTTTACTTGAGCAACTTCAAAGTCCACATCACCTTGTTCCATATGCAACTACAGTGCAGGCAAATGCCTCCTCCTCGTGTTCCCATAGTTCAATCCAATTTGCCTTCTTTCAGGTGGCAAGGCCCCCACACACCTTCATTATCTTCCCTCAGGGATGAGTCATCTCTACAGGCTGAAGGTCCTCACTGCCCTTTTCTTCCACAGGAAATACTTCTTGCTGGTCAGTTACAATGATGACGTTATCCAGAATGGGCCAAGTGAGTGGGACAATACTACTCTAGAGTTGATACACTTTTAGAGTCAGTAGCTGAGGAAGAAATCTGACTGAAATTCAGAATTCTTACTCAGTGAAATATGTTTGTGTCCAGTGCTCTTCTGTGGGGCAGGCAGGTGTCTGAGGTAAATAATGATTGCTGGCATCTGGCCCTGCTACCAAGATGGAGAACCAGCGCCCAGGGAGCCTCTGGATTTTAGAGGCAGATTACTCCTCAGTTGGGTATATGACTCCATGGAGTGACCGGAAAGTTTGCTTCTTTTGAGTTCAACCCGGAAAAAGACAGGCACTGTCACAGGTGCAGGCTGCTGCGTGTCCCCCTCCATGCACCGCAGCAGACGTGATGGTCCTACCAGTGTCCCCGACAGATGGGGATTGTGGTTGGGACCTTGGGATTGTGGTGTGTGAGTCACAGTGCAGGTGCTCAGGATTCCCCACCCATGAGCATATCCTTGTTTACTTACCTTTGGTTCACTCAGGATGAGATGAAGCTTGTGTTCGGACTTGTCAGCAGCAGGTGTGCTGCAGGGTGTTAGCCACCAGACAGTTAATGAGGACTGGTGTCTATGAAAAGAAGAAAACTAAGAGTTACAAAGCCAATTTCTAACTACAGAGTCCGCCAAACAAGGCAGTTTATGAATACTGGGTGACAGCATCACTAGATGGAGGAGTGAGGACCGCTGTGCCAATCCAATGGCTCTCCTGGCTTCTCTTGTGAATGTCTGTGGTGATGACATAGACCATCTGACAAATTTCTGAGTTGTCCACAGCAGCACACATGGTTTGTTTACATGACTTATAGCCAAGACTCAGTTTCAGCACAAAGAGCTTCAGGACATGAGTATATATTTGGGTCAATGATTCCAAGCCAGAGTGAGAAAAATTGGAAAGGTTCATGGTAGAAAGCTGGCAAATCTGATCATCCGGGTTCCCTGGGTTGCTGAGAGCTGGGGAAGAGGTAAGTAGGGGCCAAGCTGCATAGGTGTCTTGGCTCCCCACAGACCTGTGGGCGGCAATGGCTCCAGCCTCTGGCTGAGTCCATCAGGGCATCGCTGGTGGCTTCCATCCCCATTAGTCAAAAGTTGTCCTAGCCAGTGCTCGCTTTGGCAGCACATATACTAAAATTGGAACGATACAGAGAAGATTAGCATGGCCCCTGCGCAAGGATGACAAGCAAATTCATGAAGCGTTCCATATTTAAAAAAAAAAGTGGTCCTAGCCAGAGGGGCAAACATTCTGGATGAGGGGCAGTCATCACCCTGTGGATGGACAGAGATTTGTCCCACAGGATTTCCTGGGTTACAAAGAACAAATCTTAAACATGGGCCACCAAGTTACCGTGCAACCTGAGCTGTCCATTATGACCCGGGTGTGATGTCACTCACAGAGTCATTAAGGGCCCTGCACGGAAGACTACATCAATGAGTGTGGGCCTGATCCAACCTGGGCTGATCAAAGTAGTTATATGAGGTGATGCCTTGGACCCTACGGTCAAACAAGGAGTCCCTTTCTCTACCTAGACCTGTTCACTCATGAAAAGCTCCCTGTGGCCTGTTGACATTGAAGCCGTCACGGCCTGTCCTCCTGATGGATTTGTATGATGTTGATAAGCAATGTTATTTCCTTCTGGAATAATATGAGTACATTTCTCTGTACTTACCTTTTCCTCACTAATATCAGTGTGAGCTTCTGTTAGGACTGGGCAGTAGCAGGTACGCTGTAGGGCCTTAGGCATCAGTTCATGAGGAATTGTATCTATAAAAAGAAAAAATCATTCATTCAGTCTTAAAAAACAAGTTCTAATCCAGATTCTGCTCAAGGCACTTAGTAAATATTGGGCTATGGCATGTAACACTAAGTGGAGGAGTGGGGGCTGTGGTGGCAATCCAGTGGGGTTTCTGAGTTCTCTTTCCATGTCTGGGGTGATGACACAGACATTCTGAAAGTTTTCTGAGTGCTCCAGAACAGTGGACATGGATGGTTTACTTGATTTGTATCCAAGAGATCTAATTCAGCATGAGGAGATCAATTTTGTCACAGGTTTCAAGCCAGATATGAGAAAGACTGGAATGGATCATGGTAGTGTTTAACCCAAACAGGAGGAAAGTAGAATAATTCAGAATTTGCCAGGGAACAGAAAATGTTCAAGAGGAAGCACACCAGAGTAACAAAGACAGTGAGCTCTTCTGGGACAGTTGCTACCTTGATTAGACTCAAATCCCAGCAGGACCCTAAAGGTTGAGGTGGTGTGCTACTCTATGTGACATGTAAATGCCCTCTCTCCCTTGTTTTAAATTATGAAGAAGCAGTTCAAAAGTTTATGGTGGTGGTAATGTTGGAGTTGATTGGTAATGTGAGTCCAATTGCACGTGGGAGTGCCCACATGGCATACCTTTCACCAATGCATGGGGAACTATATTGATGACTGGAAACAGCATATTTGAAGAGCTGCATGAAGACTCTTCTATGAAAACCAGACCTTGGGAACTGCACCCTCTCAATGGGAAAGTCCAAATGTGACGAGAGACATTGAACCCCAGAGGCAGGGGCACTGGGCCCTGTCCAGTCACTGAACTCTCGGTGGATCTGATCAGCCTGAAAACAGCAAATCCAAGCAGGATCTAGTGAGTCTGACTGGCCCTGACGTACAGTGTTGGCTAAAGAGTCATGTGTTCCTAGCGGTGGGGAGAGGAAGCTCACGGCATTGTTGCTCCATCTAGTGAAGCAGAAATGTCCCCGTGAGTCCCAGGGCCCAGCAGCCTAGGCCCTGTGCCTAATTATCTGAGATTCAAAGGAAGCCTTATTGCCTAATACAGGTAAATTATATGAAAATCAAACTATTGTTCACAGAAAAGATCTATTCTAATAGAGCCACAGCTACTTATTTACATAGAGTCAAGACTGTTATCTAATAATGAGGAGAGGCTTGGAGTTTCTGCAGAAACCATAAGCCATTGAGGCTCTGGCTGTTACAGAAACAGCTTGCTGACCTCTGACCTAGGATTCCCTTTATAATCATTAAACAGTTGGTTAAGAATTTTAGAGAGGTCTTTTTCCCTAAAGACAAAAATTTCCATGCTTATTATTCACTAATGGCCCAGTGCACAAATTCATGCACATGAAAGGAAATGAAGTAGAAGAAATATTTTAATATTGCAATTTGCCCTTTATAATAGAAGTGTGAATCAAATTCATGATCAACAACGACAGATGGAAACACGTGTGTGATTGGTGCCAGTTAGAGTTGTATATGTATCGCACATGTGTGAGTCAACTTAGCCTTTTATATATAGACTAGGGGCCCAGTGTATGAAGATTCGTGCACGGTGGTGTGGGGGGGTCCCTCAGCCCAGTGGTTGGCAAACTCATTAGTCAACAGAGCCAAATATCAACAGTACAACGATTGAAATTTCTTTTGAGAGCCAAATTTTTTAAACTTAAAACTATATAGGTAGGTACATTGTTATTAACTTAAAATTAGGGTACTCCTAAGCTGGCCTTTGCTAAAAATGTCCTCAATCTGATTGAGGTACATTCGCTGAGGTTGACCCCTTATAACTCTCCCATCCACACTCATCTTGTATACTTGTTTCGTCTATCTTTTGTCACCCGCGCGCGATTTGTGGACGCGACTAGCACTGACCACTGCACAATGAGACTGCTGACTGACTGGCTCACTCAACTCCTGCATGAATCATGTGTGCCTCCCCTGCGCTGCATATCCCACAGCCCAACTGCACCGCGTCTCCCGTCGCCCGACCAACACCCCCCACTTCTTCTAATGCCACTTCTTCAAAATAGACTCGCCCAGGCCAAAAAACGACTTCTGCGCATGGGCCACGAAGTTTCAATTGCACTGTACATGCGCGCCCGCACATGGTATTTTGTGGAAGAGCCACCCTCAAGGGGCCAAAGAGCCGCATGTGGCTCTCGAGCTGCAGTTTGCTGACCACTGCCTCAGCCCGACCTGCACCCTCTCCAATCTGGGAGCCCTCAGGGGAGCCCTCTCCAATTCAGGAGTTTCTGTCTGTCTTTGCAATCATATGAACGAATTGTCTGAGACCTCCAACCCAGTTTGGTTTGTTGCTCACAGAATAACAGAGGCATTTTTTTTCTTTGCTTCATTGGTGGAGATTTCCTGGAAGTTTTAGGATATCTTCCCTTTAATTTTTCCTAGACAATCTGACTTTACTTATGTCTTCACCTTTGCTTTCCCTCCATCCCCTACTGCAACAGTAACTTGCTCCAGGCTCATTTTGCTCTAGTGCAGCCGTGGGCAAACTACGGCCTGCGGGCCGGATCCGGCCCGTTTGAAATGAATAAAACTAAAACAAAAAAAGACCGTACCCTTTTATGTAATGATGTTTACTTTGAATTTATATTAGTTCACACAAACACTCCATCCATGCTTTTGTTCCGGCCCTCCAGTCCAGTTTAAGAACCCATTGTGGCTCTCGAGTCAAAAAGTTTGCCCACCCCTGCTCTAGTGTCTAGATCTGTCTGCCACCAGAACTATGATTCCCAGCATTCCTGGTGCTCCCCGCGCTCTGGGCTTCTGCTTCTGGTCCTGGGGCTACCATCAGAACTATTCCCAGAATTCCTAGTGCTCCCCGCTCTGGGAGTGACTGAGGGAGCCACAGCCCCCCAAGCCTCCAGCTCTCCTGCTCTGCTCTCCGCCCAGCGACCACGGGAGCCACGTCCCCACACGGGAGCAACCGAGGGTGCCACATCCCCCCAAGCTGCTGGCTCTCCCACTTCTGCCCTCTGCCGGGCGCCTATGTATGCAAATTAACCACCATCTGTGTCTGGTTAATTTGCATATTCACCCTGATTGGCTGTTGAGCATAGCAAAGGGACGGTCAATTTATATGTTTCTCTTTTATTATATAGGATACTAGGGGCCCAGTGCCCTCAGCCCTGGACTGCACTCTCTCCAATCTGGGACCCCTCACCTCGAAGGATGTCCTACTGCCGGTTTATAGGGATTGGGCCTAAACTGGCAGTTGGACATCCCTCTCACAATCCGGGACTGCTGGCTCCTAACCACTCACCTGCCTGCCTGCCTGCCAGCCTGCTCGCCCTCAACTGCCCCCTGCCGCTGGCCTGCTTGCCCCTAAGTGCCCCCCACCAGTCTGATCACCCCCAACTGCCCCCCCTGCCAGCCCTCCCCCCCCCCACCTCCCCTCCCCACTCACTCCAAATTGCCCCCCCCCCCCTGCTGGCCTACTCACAACTGACCCCCACTGATGGCCTGCTCACCCCCAACTGGCCCCCCTGCTGGTCTGCTTACCCCCAATGGCCCCGTCCCCCATCAGCCTGATCACAAAAAACTGCCATCCCATCCTGGCCTGATCACTCACAACTGCCCTCCCCTCTTGGCCTCTAACCGCCTCTACCTCAGCCCCGCCACCATGGCTTTGTCCAGAACAATGTCTGGAAGGTCTCCTGGAAGGTCTCCCAGTCTAATTAGCATATTACCCTTTTATTAGTATAGAGGCCTGGTGCATGGGTAGGGGTCCCACTGGGGTGCCTGGCCAGCCTGGGTGAGGGGCTGCGTGCCTTTTTCAGGCTCACCACACCTCCTTCAGTGTGGGGGTCCCCACTGGGGTGCCTGGCCAGCCTGGGTGAGGGGCTGATGGCTTTTTGCAGGCTGGCCAAGCCCCCCAGTGGGGACCCAAGCTCCCAGCCTCTCCTTTTTTTCTTTTCAGCGCCTCCTTGAGTGGAGGCCAGGACGGGCTGGAAGCAGGTATCTGGGATTTATTTATCTTCTATAATTGAAACTTTGTCGCCTTGAGCGGAGCCCAGGGACGACCAGGACAGGCAGAAAGCTTGGCTTCCTCCATCGCCAGGCCAACCCAAGCCTCCTGCTGCTCCAGCTCCGTGGCCGCTTCCATCCTAGTTGGGTTAATTTGCATACTCATTCCTGAGTGGCTGGTGGGTGTAGCAGAGTGATGGTTAATTTGCAAGGTTCTCTTTTATTAGTGTAGAGACTAGGGGCCCAGTGCACAAATTCGTGCACCTTGAAAGACTCTGTGAGTCATAAGGCTACGGTACACACAGGGGCGGGTCTCAGCCCATCCTCCACACCAAGGCCCCCTGCCCCCTGCCCCCTGCCTGCCAGCAACCCTGCTCCCACTGCCACTGCTCCCATGAGCTGACGGCGCCGGCCCCACTTGTACCCCCTGAGGGCACAGAGTGATTGGGGTCAGTGCCAGCAGCAGGTGCAAGAGAGGCGGCGCTGTCAGCAGGTGTGAGCAGCAGCTGCTGTCCCAATCGCCCCTCAGGAGCAGGGGTAGGTGGAGAAGCCCTCAGGGGCAATCAGAGCTGGCAGCTGCTGCTCACACCTGCTGATGGCGCCGAGCAATCGAGAGCGGCACCAAGTACCAGCAGCAGGTGCAAGTGGTGGCTCCGGCGCCAGGTGCTGGTGCAAGCAGGACTGGTGCTGGCAGTGGGTGTGAGTGGCAGCTCTGGCACCAGCAGCAGGTGAGAGCAGGGCCACCTCCAGCAGTGGGTGCGAGAGGTGGCTGCCTGCCCCGATCTTCCATCAGGAGCAGGGGGAGGTAGAGAAGCCGTCCAGTGTAATAGGGGATGACAGCCAGCACTCACACTTGCTGACAATGCTAAGCGATCGGTGCCAATGCTGGGCATCAGCAGTAGGTGTGAGCAGTGGTTCCGGCACCAGCCGCGGATGCAAGTGGGCCGGTGCCAGCAGCAGGTGCAAGTGCCTGGTGGGACTGTTTTTGCGCAAGAGAAAG